ATATATATGTAGTATATATACATATCAAACATAACGAATAGATAATAATAACAGTGATCATATAATAATATTAGGCATATATATATTTCATTATGAATAGTGCCTATGTGTAACCAGGGAACAGTTAAATTACTGGTGTAACCATATATCATAATATTAAAGATAGGAGAATGACCCATAACTCGCAGCGTCATTGTGCTGAATGGGTGTGGTCTGTGACTACTCATTATATATAAATTGCATTAAAAAATATTAAAGAAATAATTATCTTGTATAATTACAATCTGTATATTCATGTATTGCCGCGGCAGGCCACTGTGTAAAATGCATTTCTAAATTGTAGGAACAGTTTAAACTATAATCAAACTAACTGTAGGGCTCAATCTAAATAAATTATAACAATTTTTTTCTCTGGAATGCTGTTTTGCAATTATAATAAAATCGATTTAGGTATATGCCAATCAGTAGACCTGTGTATGAGTATATTAGTTTTAATAATCATGAGGTACGGTTCTCTTCTGAATATATTTGTACAATGTATTGATTTTTTAATTTATTGATTATTTTTAGATTACTCAGCTCAAGATCGCCAGTAATCCGTTTGCAAAAGGGTTCAGGGAATGTGACCCAGATGATTGGTAAGTTAATAGTCATAATACGACTTTTTACCATTAGTTTTAATCAAATGCGCTATGCACCTTTATAATATCAATCACGAAATTAATGATTTTTAGTCATAAACCGACACCAATCACCCTTACACTATGTTGTTAAAAGGGATCGTTTTTGACAAGTTATTCATCATAAATGACAAATCGGAATTATATTACCTTTACGATACTATACCGGCCTTTAAACCGAAACTTTTTCGTTAACTGCACTTTAAGTCTTTTTGTGATTGAATTGTTGATCGTGCCAAAACAATTAACAACTTGGTACGTTTGTTTCAGTTTTTCTTCAAGTATAATTGAGATTATTCCGCACAATAACGGACCTCGAAGCCGTAATCATCACCGTCCAAGTTCTTTACAAATATATGGTGTGGCAAGAGCCAGGGCTGGGAACAAGGCAAACCGACAAGAACAACGTAAGGAGTAATCGGATTATATTTACCGTATTATTATGTCTGTCTCGGCTTATATCAGCCGATCAATATATAGCCTATGTCGATAGATATATATATCCGGTCCGGTTAAATCACACTCCGGACTGGATAAATACCAAGTTATTTGACAAGGAAAACATCAAATGAATATATATATATATATATATATATATAT